TTGGGGCTAAGATAGCAGAGGGGATGAGTTAGGAAAACGTCTGTGGTTAGTGGTTTGCTGAATGTTTTTGAAGATCCATGAGTTCCTTTCCCTTCTTTCCTCCTCATTTTTTCCTTCTTAAGTTATGAGCCAGGTTACTCATCACTTAGGCTTTTTAAAGAGTAAGCATGTGGGGCGCCTGGGTGGCTCAGTCGGTTAGGAGACTGCCTTCGGCTCAGGTCATGATCCTGGAGTCCTGGGATCGAGTCCCACGTCGGGCTCCCTGCTTGGCGGGGAGTCTGCCTCTCTCTCTGACCCTCCCCCCTCTCATGCTCTCTATCTCATTCTCTCTCTCAAATAAATAAATAAAATCTTTAAAAAAAATTAAAAAAGAGTAAGCATGGTAGAATATAAACACCTCTCCATAAATAATACAAATAATAGATTTCATTTATCGAGTGCTTTAACTCTGTGTTCTTTGTGGTGCTAAGCATTTGATGTTATTATCTCCTATCACCCTTTCAATCATCCAGGACTTCTCATTTTACTGGTGAGGAAAGTGAGACTGAGCGGTCAGAGATCTGGCTCAAGGTCACATAGCTAGTTAGTTTAGACATCACACCTGATCCCCAGTCACAGGTGGCCTGACACTAAAGCCATGTTTTTTTGTTTGTTTTTAAGATTTTAAAAAATTAATTTATGGGGTGCCTGGGTGGCTCAGTCGTTAAGCGTCTGCCTTCGGCTCAGGTCATGATCTCAGGGTCCTGGGATCGAGCCCCACATCGGGCTCCCTGCTCGGCGGGAAGCCTGCTTCTCCTTCTCCCACTCCCCCTGCTTGTGTTCCCTCTCTCGCTGTGCCTCTCTCTGTCAAATAAATAAATAAAATCTTAAAAAAAAAAAAAAAAAAGACTTTAAAAAAAAAATTAATTTATTTAGAGAGTGAAAGTGGGGGAGGGGCAAAGGGAGAAGGAGGGAGAGAATCCCAAGCAGACTCCACGCCCGATGCAGGGCTCTGCTCCAGGACCCTGAAATCATAACCTGAGCCGAAACCAAGAGTCAGATGACACGTAACCGACGGAGCCACCCAGGTGCCCCCCTTAAGCCATGTTCTTAATCACAGCACTGGATGGACACTACAAACTGGTGGTGGTAGAAGAAATTGGGAGATTCTTGATTTCTAGGCATGTATTATATTAGTGGTTAATGTAAGTTATGGTCAGTTTGAAGCTGCCCACAATGCGGCTCAGTGGAAAGACCAACAGAGTAAGAGATGGAAGATTTGGAATCTGATCTCAGCTCAGACAACACTTAGAAATGGAAGCACAAATTGGTGCCAGATCTGACTTTTGGGGAAATAACTGACCCTCTTAGAGTCTTGATTTCTCCTTGTGTAAAGTGGGTGCAATATTATGCTCTCTGCAGGTCTCAGATTTTGCTGTGAAGATCCAATGAGGTAATAGTCACACATTGAAAATATAAAATGTTCTATACACATTAGGTGGCATGACTTAGATTTGTTGGGTCACTATATGGATTTTTAAAAAATTAATTCATAGAATTCAGTACTTGAGCTAATATTTATTGAATGCCTCTATGTGCCAGACATTATACTAGATGTTGGTCATACATCGGTGAATAAGTCCTGCTTTTTTTTTTTAAAGATTGTATTTATTTGATAGAGACACAGCGAGAGAGGGAACACAAGCAGGGGGAGAGGGAGAAGCAGGCTCCCCGCAGAGCAGGGAGCCTGATGCGGGGCTCAATCCCAGGACCCTGGGATCATGACCTGAGCCGAAGGCAGACGCTTAACGACTGAGCCACCCAGGCGCCCCAAGTCCTGCTTTTTAAACAAAACTTTTAATAAACTTATACACCCTTCACCCATTTCTCCCACCCCACTCCCCTGCCTCTGGCAACCCTCAATCTGTTCTATTTTTTTCTCTATATCTGTTTTTATATAGATATATAGATTCCATATGTAAGAGAGATCATACAGTACTTGTCTTTCCCTGTCATTTATTTCACTTAGCATATGCCCTTGAGGTCCATCCATGTTCTTGCAGATGGCAAGATTCGTTCTTTCTTATGCCTGAATAATATTCCATTTTATATTTATTTATATCTGTTTATCTCACAATTTCTTTGTCCATTCATCCATCAGTGGACACTTAGGTTGTTGCTATGTCTTGGCTGTTGTAAATAATGCTTCAGTGAACATGAGGGTGCATATATATCTTTTCAAGTTAGTGTTTTCATTTTCTTCAGATAAATACCCCTAAGTAGAATCGTTCTATTTTTAATTTTTTGAGGAACTTCCATACTGTTTTCCATAATGGCTGCACCAATTGACATTCTCACCAGCAGTGTGCAGTTTCCTTTTCTCTACATTCTTGCCAACACTTGTTATTTTCTTGCCTTTTTTTCTCCTCTTTTTAATAATAGCCAGTCTAACAGGTGTAAGGTAACATCTCATTGTGGTTTTGATTTTGATTTGCATTTTCCTGATGATGAGTGATACTGAGCATCTTTTCATGTATCTTTTGGCCATTTGTGTATCTTCTTTGGAGAAGTTTCACTTGATCATGGTATATGATCCTTTTAATATTTTGTTGAATTTGGTTTGCTACTATTTGTTGAGGACTTTTGCATATATATTCATCAGGGATATTAGCCTGTAATTTTTTTTTTTATTGTGGCATCCTTGTCTGGTTTTGGTATCAGGCTAATGCTGGACTCATGAGTTTGAAAGAGTTTCTTCCTCTTCTATATTTTGCAAGAGTTGGAGAAGGATTGTTATTAATTTTTCTTTGAATGTTTGGTAGAGTTCACTAGTGAAGCTATCTGGTCCTAGACTTGGTTTTTGGGAGGTTTTAAATTACTGATTCAATCTCCTTAGTAGTAATTGGTGTCTTCAGATTTTTCTATTTCATTATGATTCAGTCTTGGTAAGTTGTGTGTTTCTAGGAATTTATTCATTTCTTCTAGGTTGTCACATTTGTTAGTATAATTGTTCACAGTAGTCTCTTTTGTATTTCTGTGGTACCAGTTGTTGATGTCTCCTCTTTCATTTGTGCCGTCTATATCTTTTTTACTTGGTGAATCTGGCTAAAGGTTTGTCAATTTTGTTCATCTTTTCAAAGAACCAGCTCTTAGTTACGTTGATGTTTCCTACTGTCTTTTTAGTCTCTATTTCATTGATCTCTGCTCTAATCTTTGTTATTTTCTCCCTTTATGGATTGTGTTCTCCTGTGCCTTAGATCCTGGCAGAGTTAGAGTGAAAGCTTTGTTTCTTAGAGAGGTGCAGTCCTGGTGGGGAACACTGATGTGCAATTGGGGATTAGCAATGGAAGAATGCTGTGGGAATTTAGGGCAGGGGAAGTTCACTGTAAAATAGCATTGCCCAGGGAAAGCTTTATGAAGTGCACGGCATAGTGAATTAAGTAGATTTTAAAGGATGTGGTATTCAGATGGATCAAGAATCGTTCACTTTGTGGAAACTTACTTTTGCTTTTAAAAGGAAACCCAACTAAGTACCTAGGGTCACCATTTGCCTTCTAAAAAAAAGTTACTTACGGACTGTCGTGAGATATGGAACTTGGAATTTCTGTGCTCTTAAGAGGATGGAGGCGTTTTTATACTGTTTCATCTTCTCCAATAGTGTTTGGCCTATCCTCCCTTCCTCAGACTATAAACCCGAAAGGAAGGAATCTTCTCCTGAAACCTATAGATCGGCATTATCATCAGTCTTAGGTTGGTTAGCATTCTATTTTTTTCCTCCTTAATTGAATAATTTCTCCAAAGAGTACTAACTAGTTTAGAATTTTTAAAAGATTTGGTAATGCATTAGAGGTTACAAGTACTCAGCTGAAATTAAAGGAGTTATCAGTCTTGCTTTGGGAAACAAGGTGACCAACCAGCTCGTTTCAGAAAAACTACCTCTCCCATTCCAGTGATTAGTTAATAAAATTATTCCTGACAGAGGCAGGCCAAGAAGCTCAGGCAGTTACATATTTAGAGACAGAGAACCCATTGTCCAAAGATCTCAGAAGAGCCTTTGCAAACACACAGAAGGGATTTAGAACAATTTGCATAAATCTCCCTGTGGATAGCGACATGGCTCCGGTATTAGGGTGGTTCCAGGAACCCCTCCTTGGCTGTATCATGGGGTGACGCTGTGCTTAGTGAGAATTCAGTCTTATGATGGTTTTTGCCAACAGGATTGGGTGATGGGACACTGAATAAGCCCACTGTTTGGTTCCACATAAGGACTCTTTTGTGTTGGCCCGGTGTACCCATATTCAAGTTTGTCTTGCTTTTTCTCCACTGATGTTTTTGGACTTTGTGGGCTGGGGAATTAAGCACAACACCTATTCTGAGCTAATCTGTCAAATTTTGTTCTTGAAAGGTAACCGTAGCCCCTTGTATTTCTAGAATGTGGAGAATAATAGTCATACCTTTGGAGACTTCTGACTTCTTAAAAGTCAGGGAGAGGAGGAGACCTTGCTTGGCATGCCCAGATAGCTAGGCATTCATGCCTGTTCCTGGCAGAACTGTGGGAAGTAATTCCCTTGTTTGTTAATGTGATTTGCCTCCTTCACCAACTTCTTTAAGAACTATGTTCTCTTGCATAGTTAACAAGTTGTACTTTAATATTTAATATTCCCCTCTGGAAGGGTATGGATCACTCTGGTGTGTAGTTTAAAAATGCCGGGTGGTTACAGATCTGTTTCAAGTTTTCTTTTTTTCTACTTACTTTTTGAAAGAAAAAAAAAATGATATACATTAAATACCACATATTAAGAGCTTTACTGGTTTCTTGCACAGACTGCTGTCATTCTAGAAGCCACATAGGAGTCTAATTTAAAATCCAGGGAGTAGTTTATGCAATGGGGAAATTTGGTGCTTTAAGTACAAAAATGAAATCCACTAATTTCTAACCTGGAGTTTATTTTCTTTCAGTCTGCTAGCTTGATTTCTCAGCTTTGTTCTAATAATATAAACATTTTTATGTTTATTTATAGGTCGTTTTAACCAAGAGAGCAGATCCAGCTGAGCTTAGAACAATATTTTTGAAGGTCAGTATAAAGGAATCTATTTTGTTTCTTGTTTGATTTGTGTTCTTGAACTTTTAAAGATTATTTTCAAACAGCTCTTTATTTCATTGTTATATATGTAAAAAAAAAAAAAAAAAATCCCAAAAGGTATCTTTACTTAAGACTTATGAAAGAGATCTACTACAATTATGTCTATTTTTTTTTTTTTTGAAATGTATCAGAAACTTGCAGGTGATTTTTTTGTGAGGGCAGTATGGTTTACATTTTAATTTCTTTTCTTTCACTTGGTGTCAGATACTGGAAAGGAGTTGCTGGGGGATTTAGTCTCACAACTCATTTACCTTTCCAGGATTCACCTGTGCGGTTTGATGATCATGCTTTTTCTTCTAAAGTTGAAAGCTCTTTGTTAACATTTCAGTAATCCTTCATCCATCCAGAGAGGGCTGTCCTTGCCTCTTGTTGGTAGAAGCCCATCATTGTTACCATCATTATCATTATCATCATTTTATTGCAACTGTGGTTCGTGGTGGAGGCCCAGTATGAGTAATAGTACGTATCAGTTCACAACAGATACCATATATTTCCTTAGTTTCTTAGATTTCCCCTACTTTGTGACATTGGGCAGTGAATGAATGATACTCTAATAAAAGTCTACTTCAGGTCCCAAACATGGAATCACGGGATGTTGGATTAAAGTACTCAAAAAAGAAAAGGCCACTTTTGTAAAGATCATTTAAAAAGTATATATGTGGGCCTTTTCTAAACATGATGGGAAAGCAGCTATGCTATACGTGAAGAGGACGAAGACTTCAAATGAGACACTTGACGTTCTGCTGTGTACCAAATATATGGCCTGGAAAGTTACTAATATTGTGAGCATCACTTTCCTCATGAAAATGTATTATTAAAAACTGAGAAATCGGAGAATTTGAATACTGACAGGATTATCTGATATCAAGGAATTCTTATTGATTTTTTAGTCTGGATGATGGTATTCTGATTACAGGAGCTATAAAGAGTCTTTTTTTCTTAGAGATACACACTAAAGTGTTTACGAATGAGATTATGATGTCTGAGATTTGCTTTTAAATAATCCAGTTTTGGTGGGGGAGGGAAGATGTGTGGTTGGCGTGGTGATAATTTTTGAAATTGGTAAATGGAACATTGAGTTTCTTACCCTGGTCTCTCTACTTTGTACATGTATGAACATCTTCCTGAGTTATAAAAATTTGTGAAGATTGAGTAAAAAAACCTGGATGAAAGTTCCCAGCACCTGATATGCATTAGATAACTGATTCAGTAAGTGCTTGAAATTAAATAATTCAAACACGAGAGACAGAGGCTTCAAAAGGAAATGGTTAAAAATGTGAGTAGGTTTGAGGGGAGGAAAAGCGATAATTTGTAAGGAGGTTTGGATTATGTGTAAGAAAGCAGAATTCTTTATAAATCTGGTTTTAGCCTGAAAGGACAACACAGTATAGAGATTCTAAGGTGGAAAAGGATTCTAGATCATGAAAGTCCAGGAAATAGAAATGCGTTGTTTTGCACCTGGACTAGCATCTGTTGCCCTGCACTGGGGGCTCACCGTGATTGGGATGAGGTGTGTATGAGGGAACCGTAGACATTTTTAGTGTGTGTATTTAAGATCTATAATATAAAACTCATAGTATAATTCTAGGAGACCACTTGTAGTGGGTTGCCAGAGACCCTAGAAAAATGGATAAAAGCTCATTAACCTGAGCTGGCAAAGTCATAATCATTCTTTGAACTCAGGACCTCTCTATTCTGTTTTGTAAACCAGCGATAGTTGCGGGCATCCTTCTGACAGGAAATGGGAAAAACTCTGAGTGTCTCAATAGATGGTGCATCTTGGATACCTACTGGTCTTTTGGCGTGATCCAGTAGAAACGCTCCACCTGGGTAAAAGCTGTGTCCACCTTTTGAGCCACATGGCAGCTGGTTAGGTTGAGATCCTACTTGGGAACAACCTGTCTTTTCCAGCTGCTCCCTGTCAACAGGAGGCAAGTCTCTACTGGAGACAAATCAGATTGGTCGGGTAGGAATTCCATGCAGAGTTCTGGAAAGCCACCTGTGAGGTTTCTGTGTCAGTGAGCCTGAAGGTTGGGGTGGGATCTTTGGGAGCACATAGGGAAATGCTGTCTTCTCTTGGGGTGGCTAAGACTACGTGGCTTTTGAATGAGAGTGTGACTTAGAGTCCTAGGGGGTGATGGGGCCAGGAAGGGGGGGACCATCCATGCAGAAAACAGTGATCAGCAGTTTCTGGAAGGGATTGTGGATCTGGCAGAGGTTTGGGTGATCTCATCAGGCTGGGGCAGTGTAGTACCAACACAAATCCACCTTGGCTCAGCATGTGGGGGATCTCTTGTTTACCATTTGCCACAGATGATGTTGTGGTGGGAGGAGAATAGGGATGAGGCCCATGGGGGCTCTGCCAGGCACGTCTCCACTGTGGCCGGGCTTTTCCGTTAAGTATGGATCAGCAGTAAGCACTCGGTAAACCTGACTACTTTGCTGATTTTCTATGACTTTTTCCTGACTTTTATTCTTGATAAATATCCCAACCTTCTGTCTGTTACACTAGTTAGAGGATTCTTCTGTAGCTCGCGGGGGAGGTGGACCTTTGGACCAGATGTGCTGATAGCAGAGGAGTTGGCAACTGTGGAGGTCAGAGAGAGCCAGTGGAACTGGCAGAGAGAAGGAAAGAGAGAGGGGTCCTGGAGGACTGAGGTGGGCCCAATTGTGGCTTATTTTATCCTTGAGAAGAGTTAAAATAAATTCCACTTCTTTTTTGGGGGGGATTTGCTTACTGTATGTGAAGTACAGTGTTAAGTGTTGGGGATGTAAAGATGCATAAATCATGGCTCCTGCCATTTCCTGTCTCACTGTGTGTAAGTGTAAAAAAAAAAAAAAGCCATGATACGGTTGATAAGCATTATATGGCGTTAATTAGTAGGAAGATGACGTGGGGCTAATTACATCTTGTTAGCAAGGGTCATTGCAGTTACAGAGAGGTGGTGATGTTGGAGCTGGGCTTGACAGTGAGTAGGTACTTACCAGCTGGAGAAGGTAGAGGAGGCCTGTGGGGCAGAGGAAGACCGTTCTGGGCAGAGGCGGCAGCAGGTGTGGAACAAAGGGCTGTGAGTGCCAGGTGGGGGTGACCCAGAGCACAGGCTCTTGGGCAGTGCACTTGGGTGGTAGGCAGGGCTGGACTGGTGTCTAGCATTCCTAGCCTGAGGCGGCTGAGTTTATGATGCAGCCTCTTCTGGTGATAAGTGGCAGCTGACATTTTGTCTGGGTGTGGAAGTTGAAGTCCAGGTGTGGTCAGTTTTGTTTCGAACCTAGGTGTTGACATGTTCTTTCCCTGACTGCATGTTAATTTGAGCAGGTGTCTGAGTGCTCACAGTTTAAATAAAACACCATGAAGCTTTGCGGTGAGTGGGATGTACAAGAGAGGTATAAGCAATGACCATGCCTTCCAGGAGTTCAGCTTTTATACGCGAGACCAGATTTACAGGCACACAGTAGGTGAAAGAGAATCTAGGTGTGCCTGCTTGCCAGTGTGGTGAAAGCAAATGCCACAGGAACGGGAGGAGGGAGCGGTCCCTGTGGTGGGCAGTGGTCAGAGAAGGCTCCTTGGAGAGGGACTTGGGAGAGCCCTGGGCTGAGTGGGAACTGGGGAGTCAGGGAGGAGGGCAGCTGAGGAATTCCGGGGGGGAGGGCCACCTTTGAGGGAAGGCTGGGAGATGGGCTCAGGAGCACACAGCCTCTCCAGGTTGAAGGATTCTTGCTCCTTCAAATGTTTGTTTGTTTATTTATTTATTTATTTATTTATTTATTTTATTTTATTTTATTTTTTTAAAGATTTTATTTATTTTTTAGAGAGCGAGCGAGAGGGAAACAGCATGAGAGGGGAGAGGGTCAGAGGGAGAAGCAGGCTCCCCGCTGAGCCGGGAGCCCGATGTGGGACTCGATCCCAGGACCCCGGGATCATGACCTGAGCTGAAGGCAGACGCTCAACCATCTGAGCCACCCAGGCGCCCTTCAAATGTTTATTTAAATTCATCTCTGTGGCAGGGAGTCTGCCAAGCCTTACAGGGTATGGGTGACAAAATTAGAAGGTAATTGGGAGTTTGGCACGTCAGCTGAAAAATAGGAAGCTGTTGGGGGTTTTCTGGGTCATCCAGTGACACTGGCAGGATGGGTTTGAGATTTGGTTGGTGCAACAGGGCCGTGAGTTAGGCAGCCTTGGGCGTAATCCTGGTGCGTGGCCCTAAAGACTTGATTAGGATTGTGGCCGCAGGGGGAATGGAGAATGGGCAAAGTTAAAACATTTTGAAGGACTGCTTGATGGAAATGATCTTGTACAGTGGATGAGAGGGCACAGGGGATAAATATGACCCCTGGATAGATAGCCTGGGTCAGGGAGATGCTAGTAATAAGAAGGGGAAAATCGAGAAGGAAACGGTTAGCTCAGGGGAGAGCAAAGGGGGTGATGTGTACTGTTTACAGGTGGAAGTAGCTGAATGCCTGTAGTGTAAGCTGTGGGAGATGGGAAAACTGGGTAAAGGGACTAGACAAGGGGAATAGGCCCTATGATAATTTGTAATGATGATACATAGTGAATTACACTTGGATTTTTTACAATTATTCTTTGTCAACACAACATGTATGTATTTAGAATTTTTGTTAACAAAATTGGAAAAACAGTTAATTTCTTTTTTTAAAAGAAAACTTTTAAAATGAGAAAATGGTTCATATTCATTGGCAAAAATTTAAAAAGCAGAAGTATGTAAAGAAAAGTAACTTGTGATTCTGCCATATAGATAAAATCCATGTCTATATATATAAATATGTATTTTATATGCCTATCTTTGTTTCTCTATCTCTGTGTATGTATATAAAACTTTTTCCTTTTTTTTTTTTTTTTTTAAAGATTTTATTTATTTGACAGAGACACAGTGAGAGAGAGAGGGAACACAAGCAGGGGGAGTGGGAGAGGGAGAAGCAGGCTTCCCGCCGAGCAGAGAGCCCGATGCGAGGCTCGATCCCAGGACCCCGGGACCATGACCTGAGCTGAAGGCAGATGCTTAACGACTGAGCCATCCAGGCGCCCCTAAAACTTCTTCCTTAACGCGAGAAAAAATACTGTTCTCTCCAGTTTTTCCCTTCACCTACTATGTTAGGAAAACCTTTTCCTATAATTGAATGTATTTCTACAGTATTTTTATTGTTGTGTGCTGTTCCTGTGTATGGCTGTTTTTACAGTAATTTATCTAGCCGCTTCCTATTATTGGGTGCTTGGTTGTCTTTTTTGCTTTGCTCGTATAACAACATTGTAATGAATACTCTTGAACCTGTTTTTTTGCATATAGCCTGCAATGTTTAATCATATTAAAACTTACAAAAATTGTAAGGGAGAGAGAGGCTTCAGGTCACTTGTAAAATCTAGTCCCGAAGAAGGATTAAATACCATTTGCCCCTCCTTTCACTGGTGCAAGGACAGCGGGGCACCTTTGTCAGGACATTCATATTATGAAGAATCCATCTCTATCAGTCGAAGGAGCAACCTTTGACATTTTTACCGTAATCGCAAGGCAGACCACCCAGCCTTGGTAATGAGCTGGTTTTGCAGACTGAAGAAAACTGTGTCTTCCGTGTTCAGATTAATATGTTCTTACATTTACAAAATTATTTCATTATCACCTCTAAAAACTGGGGCAGAAAACGTCTCAATTTTTTTTTAAATGTAAATTATTGAGGTATAAATCAAGTGCACAGATCCTAAATGTACAGCTCCATTAATGTTCACAAAGTGAGCACGCACCTATGTAACCACCCCAGAAGCCATCTGATGCCCCTTCCAGTCATTACCCACCCCTCCTGAGCGTAACCAGTGGTCTGGTTTTCAGCTTTATAGAAATGGAATCATAACACTGTGTTTTCTTGTGCCTCATTTCTTTCACTCTTGCTTTAGTTGTTAAGATTCATCCCCGTTGTTACATGTGGTTGGTGTTAGTTTATTCTCATTGCTGTGTTGTATTCCATAGCGTGACTGTACCACAGGAGTTCATTTATACATCCTACTGTTGGTTGACGTTTGAGTTATTTTCCAATAACTGTTGGTTGATGTTTGAGTTATTTTTTTGCTATTGAAGGTAATGCTGCTGTGGACATTAAAATGCTAAAGCGTGTTTTTTAGTAAAAAAATACACGTTTCTCTACACACATTTCTGTTAGAGACCTACTTATGGTTGAAATTGCCGTGTCTGTGGTTCCGTGCATGTTCTGTTAGAGGAGACACTGCCGAGCAGCCTTCTAAAGTGGTTTAACGGTTTACTCTCGTAACACCAGTATTTGAGAATTGCATTTCCTCCATGTTTTTGCAAATACTTTTTTAATTGTCCTGTGTAAGGGTTAGAGGTATGGCATTGTAATTTTATTTTGTACTTTCAGTGGAGTTTTTTTTAGGGGACAGCAGCTTGACAATGATTCTGAAGGTTACTTGTGGGAAAAAAAATCAAACACTGATCATGGCCCAGAAAACTCCTGAGAGGAAAGTAGTACAATAATTTTAAACTTTCCTTCATTCGACAGATATTTATTGGACACGTTTCACTCTCTGCCTGCCACCAGTCCAGGACCTTGAGGATGCTGCAGTGAGAACCCCAGGAAAAAATCCTGTCCTGACAGAGCTTTCTCTCTAGTTGTAGCAAGTAAGATGCATGCAGTCTTGCAGGAGTAGACAGGTCAGTTGGCAAGGATTCCTGCGGCAGGGATTGCAAGAGCTGTCAGCGTGTCCTGGCATCTCTCCATGGAATTTGGGGGCAGCCCCAGAGGGGAGCCTCTACCTTAGGAAGCTATCTGTTGCTGACTGATGAGAACTGGCGTTGAGGATGGACTTACTTGCCAAGCTGTTCCCTGTTGATCATATGATAATTAGTTTGTGATACACGTGGCATCCTAAAGACGGGGGAAGGGAGAATGATTTCATTTGTGCTCCTGGGACAACCAGGAGATTAAGTGGAAAAAACTAAAGTTGGAGGATCCTTACCTCAAGTCACATAAAAAAATAAAGTAACAATGTATTGAAACTTAAAAGATAAAGCTATTTAAAAGCTAAGAGAAAATGTGGGTGAATATTAGTCTTGAGATGAGGAAGGCTTAGCTTCTAGACTTAGAAGTAAGTAATGGAAGAAATTGCAAAGGAGGAAAAAAAATCTACAGACTCAATTATCTACAAGTATCAAACTGGATAAATATTTGCAACAAATCTGATAGACAAAGGGGGAAAAGGGCATGTTCACACACTGCTGATGGGAGTGTAAATAGGTACAGTCTTTTTTGGAGAGCAGTGTGATAATAAGTATCAAGAGCCTTCAGGTTCCTCTCCTTTAACTCAACAATTTCTCTTCCAGGAGTCTAGCCATTGAAGATTGCCAGGAATTTGGACAATTGTTATATACAAGGCTGGTTACCTTAGCTTTATTTAAAAACACCCCAAACTGGAAAATAACCTAAACGTCTACTGGTGGGAGAAGAGTTAAATTGTGTTTTTAACTAAATTAATTACTCACTGCTGTAAGCAAACATAGGTATGATTCTCAATCATAGGATCGCTGTAATTAGCAGCGACATCTCCTTTGTACTTCCTGTCTTGTTTTGCCTCAGGAAAATCAAAATATAATTCTTCTACATTTCCAAAAATCCAGTTCAATGCTAAGTGAAGAATAGTGGGATTCTTGGACCAGTTTTGAGCTTTTCTTTTGTACCGTGCTAAAAAAAAAAATGTTAAATGGAAACGGATCGTACAGAACATTTATAAAGTGCTTATTGTGTGTAGTGCATTGTGCTAAGTGTGTTACATGATTATTCATTTATTTCTATCATCGACCTTAAGAAGCAGGTAATGTTATCCCCATTTTACAGGGGAGGAGCCAGAGGCCGGGAAAGTTTTACTTACCTGAGGTCCTACAGGTGGTGAGAGGCAAAAGCAGAGCTCAGCACCGGCCAGGCCTGAGGGACTCCAGAGCTTGTTACTGAGTATCTAAGCAAGAGTTTGTCCTGCCTTGGAATTAAAATGTAGAAATAACAAGTGACTTGTAGAAACAATTGTAATGGGACTTGACTCTGCGGCAGCTGCGGAGGGAGTGGAGATACTATGGTTGCATTTCCCTTCCCGGGTGCCCCCACGGCGCCCCCACATCACCGTGGCCTCCGGTGTGGTCACTGTCATCCATCTCGCCTTGTTCTTCGAGTAGCTCAGGGAGTTCACCTCCTTACCCCCAAATCACTGTTCTGTCCCCAGGATCAACAGGCCCTCTCCTGCACCATCAGGATACCGTATGATCTCATGTTGTTTTTCAGCATTTCTCATGGGCCCTGGGACTCCATGGAACAGGAATGAGCAGCTTCCCGCTTATGGGCACTGGAATCTATCACTAAAGGCAAGAGGAACACTGTGAAAAAGCATCGAGTGCACCTAATTCTCATTGACCATTTCCACTCTAGAATGGAGAAGACACTAACTAGAGCAGCCTTTCATATCTTCTTCCATAAAATCCCGCAAGAAGCCATACGGCTTCTTTCCAGCTTAGCTTGTTTGTCCTCCTTTCTTGCATTATTGGTGCCCTTGAAACAGGAATGGGGGCAAAAGAATTAGGTTGTTTCCATCCATGATTTTATAATTAAATCTGTTTTTTTTTTTTTAAGCTGTATGTCCTTGCTAAAAACAAGATGTAATTTGTCTTTCCAAATTTCTGTAAACTAGGGTTTCTCAATATCAGCACTGTTGACATTTGGGGCTGGATAACTCTGTTGTAGGGGGTTGTCCTGACCTCTCCCAACTAGATGCTAGTAGCGTCTCTCCCCCTCAGGTTATGACAGTCAAATTTGTCATCAGACACTGTCAGATGTCCTCTGTGGGGAAAAATAAATACAAACGGAAGAAGTGTAGAGCTAGAGAAACCTCGCCCACCCCTCCCCCCATCCCTGAAAGGCAGGAAACCTAGGGAGAAGGCTGGGCCTCTTAGGTTGTACTTGGCTGTTAGGGGACGTTGGTGTTTATAAGCTGGACAATCAGGCTAAGCTGCCCACAGTTGAGAACCTGAGAACCACTGGTATAAACATAAAACTTGGCACATTTAACATGTTTTTGTTTTTTTTATGAGGTGTTTGGAAATAACTGTGCTTGAGAAGTGTATTATCATATCTGATGTTTTATCCTTTGAATATTTTCAGCTTTTTCGCATATTGATCCCATGATTATATACTTTTGAGGGTAAAATATCTTTTTTTTTTTCTAAACAGTATGCAAGCATTGAAAAAAATGGTGAGTTTTTCATGTCTCCCAATGACTTCGTCACTCGATATTTGAACATTTTTGGAGAAAGCCAGCCTAATCCAAAGACTGTGGAGCTTTTAAGTGGTGTAGTGGATCAGACCAAAGATGGGTATGTTTGTTTTTAATTATCTCATTTAATTTTTTTGTTTGAAATAGCTTTCTGTTGCTTTAAAGATTAGGAAGTCAATGAATACTTTTCCATCTTGAGCATTTTCTCTACCTGTTACAATTAATTCATTATTTTAGGAATACCTTTAACATTTCCTTCTTATCACAGTTGGGGATTCTATTGTGTATTTTTTTTTTTTTAAAGATTTTATTTATTTATTTGACAGAGACAGATAGCGAGAGCAGGAACACAAGCAAGGAGAGTGGGAGAGGGAGAAGCAGGCTTCCTGCCAGGCAGGGAGCCCGACGTGGGACTTGATCCCAGGACTCTGGGATCATGACCCGAGCCGAAGGCAGACGCTTAACGACTGAGCCACCCAGGCGCCCTATGTGTGTATTTTTTTAAGACTTTATTTAGGGAGAGAGAAAGAGAGAGCACACTTGAGGAGGGGAGGAGCAGAGGGAGAGCGAAGGAGAGAATTTCAAGCAGACTCTGCGCTGAGCACAGAGCCCTACATAGGGCTCTATCTCACATCCCTGAGATGATGACCTGAGCCGACATCAGGAGTCGGATGCTTTATCAACTGAGCCACCCAGGCACCCCTATGTGTGTATTTTTTGACAGTAAAGAACTGCTTATAGTTTCAGAGACTTATTGTAGTTGATGAGTGGTATGAGATCTACTAGAATATTTGTACATATATTGGTATTTTTCAAGGGAACTGTAAAAATTGTGAGTAAATGTAAAATATAGCTCTATGAACGTAACTTTTCTATGATCTTTTCCTCTGCTCAAATAGCTTTTGAAATCTTCCATATGATTAAATCGTATGAATCTAACAGACAGAATAATATGATGGTTCCAAATCACTAAGAAGGGCATTCTACCCAAACTGGAAGAGACTGACACTTTGCTGAATGCCTTTGGATTTTTTTTTTCCCTTACCAGTGTTGTCACATTTAAAAAATGAGTTTTTCCTAAGCTGTTTAAGATTGCAGTTGGCTTTTACCATTAAGTGTGGAATATTGAGCCCCACACTCTTGGTAATACAAATACCAGTGTCCCCTAATAGCCAAGTACCATGTCCAAGAACTGGCCTTCTCCATATTAACTGTGGTAGACCCAGCCTCCTACCCTTGCTCTACCTGTCAGCATCCCCTTCCGTAGATTGCAGTTACCTGCTGTTCCGGAGTGGTGTTCTCTACTCTGGGCCTTCTCTGTCACCTGATTTTTCCCACATGCACTGGTTAAGATACAACTATAAAAATTTTTTGATGTATTGCAAATGCTTTCAATTTTTACCAGCATTTATTTCCCTTTTCTTATTTATGCGCCTGTGGTCCCATCTTCCATCGAAGTAATCTCCTCTAAAATGAAGGTCTTGCAGATAGGAGGGAGAGGGATGGATATTGGCTGTGATACTTACAATAACATCCCGGAGAGTTGCTGGATCGTGCTTTCTCTGTTTTTTATTCTGACAGAGGTTATTTGGGTTACTTCTATTTTCTGTCTCCACCCCAACACAGCATTTTTTGCTTGGTGGGAAAGTGTGTGTAATGTATGAGCAGGCCATTATTCCCTCACAGGGCCTCTGCTGGTTGGTGCTTGGAGAGGCTGATGTATATTTCACACTAGTCCATTGAAGCAAAAGCTAGATAGAACGTAGATTTATTCTCCAGATGTATTTTTTGGGGGGGGAAGTTTGGTTACTTTCACACGCCTTGTGTTCATGATTCGTAGGAAGTGTGACCAAGCTCACATACAACAAGAATGGTCTGATTCAAGGTTTAAGATTCATTTTTTTTTTTTTCTTACTTGATAGTTTAAAAATTCTTTAAATTACAGAAACATTGAAAGAATATAATGAACACCTATAAAGAATACAATGAACAAAGCATGCTCTGCACCTAGATTGACTAGTTGTTAACACATTTGTCACCTTTGTCTTCTCTTTTTACACACACATGCTTTCTACATACAAATATATGCATACACACCATTTTCTTTTTTGGCTAAACTATTTAAACTGTAGACGTCATGGTGGTTTGGCATTTATCTTCTAAGAATAAGAACATTCTCCTACATAACCGCCATACCATTATCTTCCTTAGGAGAATTAACAGTGCTGTGAAGTATCTTCTAATTTCCGGTCCGTATTCTAACATACTGAATCTTTCCCCCTGCCCCCAGCCTCAAATGGCTCATTGCTGGTTTTTGGTTTTTGTTTTTTTTTGCTTTTTTGTTTTTAAATCTAGGATCCAGTCAAGGTTCTTTTATTACATTTAGTTGTTATATCTCTTTTAATCTAGAACAGACCCTTGCCTTCTAATTTTTTTTTTTTTTTCATGATACTGACTTTTAAAACCCAGGCCAGTTATTTTATTGAAAGTCCCACAATACTGGACTCGTCTGATTGCTTTCTCAGGCCTGGATTCATGTTAAAGTTTTTGGTGCAGGTTCGGAGTGATTCTGTACTACCTGTGGTACCTCCTCAGGAGGCAAGTTGTCATAGCATTGGTGATGGGAGGTTTGATCACTTGGTTAAGGTGGCATCCCCTAGATTGTACAGAGATCATTTTTGTTTGTAATTAGTAAATCCTGAGACCATGTGCATATCCTGTCTCCCAGCAACTTTTCATCCACTAGTGTTAGCATCGATGATGATCCTTTCCTGAATTAGTTGTTATGTTGCGGTTTGAAAAGTGGTGATCTTTAAAAGATTTTATTTATTTATTAGAGAGAGAACGCATGAGCAGGGGGAAGGGCAGAAGCAGAGGGAGAAGCAGACTCCCCTGCTGAGCAGGGAGCCCGATGCGGGGCTGGATCCCAGGACCCGGGGATCATGACCTGAGCTGAAGGAAGACGTTTAACTGGCTGAGCCACCTAGGCTCCCCGAAAGACAAGTGGTGATTTTTCTAATTCTGTCATTTCTTCTATATTTATTGTCTAGCATTCTTTGTTAAGAGAAAGCTTTCTTCCCTCAACCCTGTTTTCTTTCTCTCTTTATATCAGTATAAAGTCTTGGAAGTTTTTATTTTAAATTCAATGAATTATAATCTATTACTGTTATTCTTGTGGATGCTCAGCTTGTCCCAGTGTGGGCAGGGGGAGTCCCTTCAGTCTAACTCCAGTGCCTGTGAGTGCTCCTTGCTTCAGGCAACTAAGATGTTCCACGATCACCGTGGGTATTTCCTTCCTCTAACCTGGAAATCACTCTTCTTCAAGAAGTCCTGTCCTGGTTCTTTTAGGTTGGGAACGGTGCTTAGAAACAGAAAGCTGGGCACTGGCTTATTGTCACTAGGTTGTTACTACTTCTCTGGCTTCTCAGTGGAAAGAACGGAGACATATACTTAAAAAAAAAAAATCAAAACTTCATAATGACATTTCCTATTTAAATTTAACACAACAGGATTTTTTCTAATATTTGATCTCTTTTGGTGAACATGTTGGTTCCTTATTAAATTAATATATTTATGGGTATTATATAATTGTAATACCTTCTAATTTTTTTCCCCCATTAACATACATGCTTTTCCTATTTATTTTTATAGGTACTCTCCAAAAATAATAGCCTTTGATTCATTAGATACAGTAATGTAACATACGTTGTACATACATAACATAACATGTATATTTTTTCAAAACTTATAACAATCTAAAATGCTGGCTCTGCTTTCCTGGTTGTGCAGATGAGCTAGCTGGGGCTGTGGGTTATCGAGCTGTTTGGCACCAAGCCTGACTCCCTCTAAAGACCATGTGGCCTTTCCACTGTTTCAGACTGCCTTTTCTGTCATAATCTTGTCATCCTCTTTAACTTGACATTTTCTTTCAGATTTTGTATTATCTTAAATCTCAGTGTTTCAGTGTGACAGAGAAAATCTTAGATGGCCTCAATCTGTTGCCCTATGACTTTTTCTTCCTTCAGTTGCAAAAACCTCAGTTTCAAAAGGGAAAATAACCACCCATAATCTTTTCATCTCGACACAATTATTTAGAATTTTTTCAGTGTCTCCTGTGATTTGTTAACCTGAATCAATATTTTCCATAATCTGAATGCATTTTAATTGCAGTTCTTTTATAATCTTTTAGACTGCATCAACCAATTCTCATTTCTGTATGCGGTTCATATTAACAGTGATAAATAGCTTCATCATTTTCTATGAAATTATGTACCATACTTTATGAAGTCATGCCCTTCTAGAGTTATTTCAGTTTTCTTTTTGTTTCTAGTTTTCCTTTTGTTTAATTAATTCCCTTGAAAGAACTTAGAGGCATTCTCGATGCATGGGTAGAAATATTTTAAGTCTCACCATATGTATTGTAACTCTTTCCAAAAGCATGGAGTAAGTTGAAGAACTTGTCCAAACTATTTAGGCTTTCTGAGCTAGTAGCACAGTGCTGGTGTTTGAGCCGAGACCTGCCTAAGACCCAAGGCTGTTCAGATGTTCACGTGCCATTTTCCCTAAGCCTAACCCTGACACGCAGCTCCTCAGTATTTACTTCACAAATAGGTGTAACCATACATCTGTTCTCAATGTAAAACTGCGAATGCCTTCATTTCCCCTTCCTTTCCCTTTCTCTGGAGGCATAGCGTTTATCAAGTTCACAAGTCACAAATCATCTTCCCAAATCAACTACTGTTCCTTGACAAAATCACATGATGAAGCCACATGTTGGCCCATGGAAGCACAACACCTACACCAGACAAAGGGGAAGCACTGGTGTGGGCTCTGTTTGTCTCTCCAGGCTCTTTTCACATCGCTTGGCTGGCCAGAGGGATTTTAGTGCATAAGCTTAGTAAAATCTGAAAAACGATTTGTAGATCGGTAACTTTAGCATTTAAGTAATAGTGGCAGCTGTGCTGACCCAGATGTCAGGGTGAATTGAAATAGTTATTCTTGGGTAGATACTGGCCCACCAGCTGTGGTTTCTTGCATGTATAGACCAGGTCCTGCATATTTTCAGATCTCCGGTGTCTAGTCCAATATCTGGCCTGTTTC